TTATTACTGTTTTAATAACAGAGGGCCTCCCAGGCTAAGCGGAGCAGTCAGCACTCTTGCCCAGTCTCTGGTCCCAGTGCGTTAGTCTATAATTAGAGAGACAGGGCAAACTTAAAGAAGAGTCAGAGAACCTTTAGGGCAAATGAAGGACCTGCTCAAATCACCAGCAGATAGAAAACAGTTCCAGTGCAGTGATCAATGGGGGGAGCCCATAACCTCCCAAACATCAAGAGAGAAAGGGGAAACAATATGGCCCTGTTTCTGGACCATAGACATGTCTGAGGAAAGTCATTCGCTGACTCTATCACTCCTTTCCCTTAAGAGAGTGCCCTCAACATGTTTTGCAGGATTTGAACAAAGCTACATTTGAGGGTCCACCTAGAAATTGTTCGCCGTGGTTTTAGATTCCTGGGCTCCTGCTAGGCACTTCCTACCACAGACACTTCCAAAGTCCCGTCCCGTCTGAGTTAATTCCAGCAAGAGGGTCTCCCGGATGAGTTCTGCCTGTGAATACTGTTAAAATAGACTGGAGCAAAAGAAACGAAGTGGCCAGGTACCTTAAGCACACTCTATGTTCTGGTGTTAATCTCTATGTTGTGCTGACATAAGCAGCATGTAGCTTTGAATAATCTCCAGGTAAGCCGCCCTGTAGGCAGCAAGCGCATTTCTCACATTCGAACTTGACATCTTTAATGTAGACCTGAAGAAGCTAGTCTGGGCAGATTAAGTCCCTTCTTTACCAAATGGCCCAGTCACCATGTGGTACTGTCAAAAACAAGGAGCAGAGTTCACGGTCACCTGCAGGGGCTAGGCATCAGCTTACCAGCACAGCTTCCCATCAACAAGCTCCTGTTCGCACTAATCCTGCGACATATTTTTGAGACAGAACAACTCTGACACTCTGACAGGGAACATTTTCTCTTCCCTTGTAGCACCTCCCTTGTCTCTTCCACCCTTAATGGAAGTGTGTTGTCTACCGTTTTTGAGTATTAAGTTTCTGCTTCACTTAAACAAGAGCCCTGACATTTCTGGCATCTCCAGGCCTGAACTTTTATGCCACTGAATATTTTAAATCGGTTGTTAAGGTCACAGCTCTGCTGTCAGCTAGAAGATAGCTCTATACCTTGACCACAAAGAATAAGTTTCTTCCCATCTCTATGTACCATTGCCTAGCAATCAAGTGTCCATGTTTAACCATGGTGGAGGGTCCGGGGTGGTGGTGTGCCTGGCTCTTTTCGGGGGTAGCACTGTATTTGCAGGACTATCCAGGTTGCCTCAAATTCAGTTACTTATTTTTTAGACCAATCCCTGCAATGTACTGTTGGTATTCAGTCTATCACTGTCCAAGCTTATAAGGAAATTCTCAGCAGTTTGTCTTCAGTTTCAACAAGGTAAATGGGTCAGGTTTTCCTTTGATGCCCCACCCCTGCACAATTATGGCCATTCCTTCTTTTCTAGTGGGCCTGCAGGTGTTAAGGGCTGTTGGAGGGAAGGTTATTACAAGCAAAGGGTCAATAAGAGAGTCTCCACCCCCGGAAAGCTGGGCCTAATGGCTCCCTTCCCTACGCCTCCAGCCCTCCATCTCCCTCCTGCCTGGAGGGCGTCCGTTTCTGCCCCTCCACCCCATCCAGTGTGAGTTGCTCCTCTGACAACCTTCCCCTCCTCCGTCTCAGCCCTGTGTAGTCTTTAGGATTAGATGAACTACTGTGATTACTGCCCGTGAGTATTTCTCACATGCGGTTTCTTTGAGCTTTTGTGTTCTTTGTGCTTCAGTGAGGGCTGGGGAGAGGAAAATAGTGGAATGAGTGAAAAACAGAGGAGACAGGAATTGTACAGAAAGCAGAATAACTTTGAAATGTAACCCCATCACCTGCCGTATAGAATTAGAATCTTTCAGTCTGATTCTGAGCAATTGAAACAGCATTATTTTGCCAGTTTAATTATGAAAATAATGGCTTGAGGTCTGTTATCTCAGTGGTTAAGGTGAGGGGGACATTCACATTGAAACAATTGGAAAACATCAAGGGAAGAATCAGTATAATCTGTGACATAGAAGCTTTTAAAATGAAAGAGTTTTCTCTAGATTTGTTCCATAAACTGCCATCCAACTGTATAATAATGAATTTGACCAGATGTTTTCCAATTAAATTGGTACAACTTGTCTCTACAAATGATAGGGTGTGACTTTGAATGTTCATTCTTTGTCTCTAAACTTTTCAAATATATATTCCTATGATCCTTAAAACAATGCTATGAGTTAGTTATTTTATCTTGGTAAGTATAGAATTCCTGTTTTACAGAGAAGGAAATTGAGCTTTAGTTTCACCGAGAGTCACACAACTATTAAGTGGTGGGATTCAAACCAAGGTCTTCGTGACCCCACAGCCCCTGCTCCCAACCCCACTTCACACCTTCACTGCAGGAGCATCCTAGGAAAACAAGTCCAAGCCGACTCCAGCAAGACCCTGGCATCACCATTATCTTGAATGTGAACTCAGCTGGAGGACACAGGATGCACCAAAGCAGAGGGCATGCTGAGATGCCTTCCTGGACTTGGGGAGATGTTCTGGAGCTGATGGCCCCTTGAGGAATTAAGATAACAGCCCCTTTTTTGTGTATATGCACATTTATGTGTGGGCATTTAAGTAGGAATTGTCCCAGCAAAGGGGCAGCTGGTTTTGTTCTTTTATTTTTTCCTTTAAAATATTTTAATTCTTTATTTTTGGGTAGGTAATAACATAGTCACATGAATAAAAAACCCAACAACATAGGTCTTCCTTCCACCCCTTCAGCCCAGTTTGTACCCCATACCCTTTCTCATGGATATCTTTTCAGAGTTCCTTCTATGCTAAAATAAAGAAATATAAATTTATATTCTTCTTTCCTCTTTTTTCTATATAAAAGGTAGTCATTTAAAAATTCTGTACCTTCCTTTGCTTTTATTACATAGAGATTTATCTTGGTTACCTTTCCATATCAGCACCCAAAGAGCTTCCTCTTGCTTCTTTACAATGGCATGCTGTGTCATGGCATTAGATGTAGTATCACTTATTAACCAGTCCCCATTTGGCTTTTTCCAGTCTTTTGCTCTTACTAACTGATGCAATGAATAACCTTGAATATATGTCATTCTGTGTATGTGCATGTATATCTATAAGTTCCTAGAAGTAGGATTGCTGAGTTAAAAATATGCATTTGTAATTTTTACTGATAATGCTAAATTACTCTCACTAAGGGTGGTACTAATTTGCATTCCCACCAGCAATGTATGAATTTCCTACAGTCCTGCCAACAGAGTTAACACATTTTTGGATTTTGGCCCATCTGATTGATAAATATGCTTGGACTTTGACCCATCCAGTGCAAGAAAATATTGTAGGTTTCTTGCTATGATTAAAGTTAAACAACTTTTCATATGTTTTAAGAGCCATTTGTATTTCCTTTTCTGTGGATATTTGCTCATTTTTTTAAAATCTTAGCTTATAGACATATCTTATCAATTTCTAGGAACTCTTTATATATTAGGGAAAGTACACATTGTCTGTGATATCAGTTGAACATATTTTTTCCTATTTGTTATTTAGCTTTTTTTTCTTCTTGATTTTTATATGGTTCAATTTGTTAGTCCTCTCTTATGTCTAGTGGAGCTCAAATCAAAGTTAGAAAGGCCTTTTCCACTCCAAGGTTATAAAAAAGTGTTCTCCCAGGTTGTCATCCAGTACTTCGTGGCTCTATTTTTCTTATTTAAATTTTTTATCTATTTGGTGTTTATCTTGGTGTATAGTATAATGTTTGGGTCCAACTTTTGTTTTTTGCAGATGGCTATCCAGTTGTACCATACCATTTATTAAATAACTGCTGGTAATTTAGTGCCTACTGGTTTGAGTTTCCACCTTTGTGTGTGTGTGTGTGTGTGTGTGTGTGTGTGTGTGTGTGTGTGTATGTGGTTTTATTTTAGAAAGCTAGAAGAAAGACTCAATTTTTCTGTTGTAGATCTAGAGAATTTCTTTTTTATTGTGGTAAAATATACATAGTGTAAAATGTACCCTTGTACCCATTTTTAAGTATAAAGTTTGGTGGCATTAAGTACATTTGCATTCTTGTGCAACTGTCACCACCATCTAGCCCCAGAATTTTTTCATCTTCCCACCATTTGACTTGGAATCAAATATATTATTCATTCCATGATACACTTTCCGCTTGTAAGGTGTGTGCTGATTTCAGAGATGTTAAAATGTGGGAAAGTATACATCTTTAGAATTTATGAAATACCGTCCTAAATTCCCAAATTATTTGGTGTATTTCTGGACATTCTGTTGTATTTCATTGGTTTTCCTCTTCATGAGTCAGTATCACACTGTTTTCATGATTGAAGATTTAGAATATATTTTAATATATAATATAGCTAGCTTTTCCTCACTGGTCTTTTTCCAACTATCCTTGTCTATCTGTTCCGATAAACTAGGTAGCTTCCTCTTGACTCTTGTAAATCTTCTTTTCTTCCGTCTTTCTACCTCTGTTCCACTTAAATTGTAAAAGCTTGCACCTAGAAGACCTCCCGCTGATGCCTGAAGATCGGCCATAAGTCTGGATCAGAGTAGCTGCTCCGAAAGTTTATGTATCTTCTCGACTTTCTTCTCTGGGTTTTTACTTCGGCATCGCCATGGGAGGGGCAATCCATTACTGATCTGCATTGTCGCGTAAAGGGGAGATGCTCCCATGACAGTTCTGACTCATTTATTCCTTTTGTGTCTTGTACATAGAATGTCAGTCTTTTTCACCAAAGTAAGCATTGTTATTACAATGATGAAAAGCCTTAACTGTTTGCAGCCGCGTCAAGTTTTAATGTGGTTCACTAATGCATTTACCTTCAGCAAAAGTTTGTGGGTTTGCCAGTTATCTCTATTAAATTTGTAGCATTTTTAATATTGTATCACGAAAAACTTGCCTTTATTTGCATTCATAGATCATAATGCATTTCTTTTTTTGTTTTACTGAAGAACCCACTATAAAAGCCAGTAAATCCCGTGGAAAATGGCCTTCAGTGATCTTACATCGAGGACTGTGCGTCTTTATGGTAATTGGATCAAGGGTGCTGGTAAGTAACCCTTCTTTCTAATTGAGGTTTATCCTTCCTTTTTATGTCATATTCCCATATTTAATAGGGTTTCACTGAAACAGAATGAGAGACTTTGCAGCTTAACACTCCCTCAAGGACACTCAAAATATTATTTTTATTACTAATTAGTAAAGAAGACGTGTCCAGGGTTTCATTACAGATATGTACAATGATAGACCTACACGGATGTTCCTTATGATGTTTATAATGGTGAAAATAGTTTTAATATCCAATGAAGAGAATTGGTAAGTAAATGATGGTACATTCCGACTGAATAGCCATTGAAAGTGATTTGGAGGCACAGTGCTCTTAGGCTTGATTCTGCCCTAATGCTCCTAAAGGAGATAACAGCTACTGCCAACAATGACTCTATTCAGGATGCTTCCAGTACTGCAGGGGTGTATCAGAAAGGGCCGGGAGTGTTTCCTAGGGTAATCCCTGAATAATTCTGAAATGCCTACCTTCTCTCCTTGCCCATTAAAAAAAAAAAAATCAATGTTATAGAAAAAACATTTAATCCCACAGCAAGAAGTTTTAAAATACATTAAATGAAAAGCAGGTTATAAAACACCACATATATTTCTTTTGTGAGGATTAGCAGTTATCTCTGTGTGGTAGGATTATCAGTGACTTCTTATTTACTTATCTGTGTCTTTTTAGATTTTCTTAAACCACTATGTGTGTGTTGCTTCTATAACTATTACAAAATGTTCTAAAAATATAATAAAGGTAAATTTTTTAAAATATAGACAATCAGAGCATTTTAGAGTTGAGATGGACCTAGATATTATTGAAGCTAACTCTTCATTTTCGAGTTGAAAAAAACCGAGGCCCAGAGATGGTTAGTTGTTGGCAGAAAAACTAGAACCTATGTTTTCTGATAAGTATTCTGGTTTCACACTTGAATTATTTTGCACGTGTTCACCGCCATCACTTTAGATTATTTCTTACCTGTCAACCAAAAATCACATGCTCACTAAATTCAGGTGGAAAAAGTTCCACCTCTTGGTACCTACCACAATTGGAATTATATTCCAATTAATATTAATTTTAGCCATGATACACTGTTTCGTGGTTGCCATCATTTCCAGTAGACTGCTAAAGACCAATGTTATTTCACTAAAAAATGGTCCCAACAGTTTTACCCCTGAAGAATGCCAAGGATCTCAAAAAGATCCCATAAATAGAGATGCTTCACTCTGGTGGGGAAATGGAGAGTGATTATTTCCATAGTTTCTTCTTTTTTTATAGTTCTTTCAACTTATGTAATGATGCAGAGAACATATAGGTTTTTTTAGAGATCATTCTTCTCTGAAGGTTTATAGTAGTTTGTTTTCATAAATTCAGTATTTAAACACAGTATTTTATTTTTTTGTTCTCTAATGGTTTCTGTTTTTATTTGTTTATTTTGAAAATACTAATGTTTTAATTGCTTTTCAAAGTAGAGGTGTACTTTGCTACCTCAACTCTCATGATTTGAACTTGGGAACCAAGTAGGTTTGAGTACATTTTTTTGAAATAGACCTGATTGGAAGAACAGATCCTTTGCTATTCAGCCCTTGCTGTCTACTATTCCAAATGCAGAAACCCAAGAGACTCAGATAATCAATATGCTAACTTAAGAGCCAAATTGATTTAAATGATGATAAATATCTATATAGTGCTAGATAGAAGTATAAAATATTTAAAAATGAACTACTTCTAAATTCCATTTCTACTTTTATTCTTGGGTCAACTCTTTACTTTTTATTAGGAATACTTACATTTAAAAGCTGAATAATATTAGGTCAGAAAAAGGAATTACCAAGGGCTGGGGATGGTTATGGAGAGAAAAGAAGAGCCCTGGGAACAGTGTCACAAACAGGGCAAGAAGGATGAGAGGAAGAGGCAGGCAGGGCTACGTATCTGAAGTTAGGCTTAATTTGAAGTCTTGAGAGAGAAGGGAAGGTATGGGATTTGTAATGCAAAGACCTAAATGTAAGTTCTGACGCTAGTATAGTAGCTGGGTGATCTGGAACCAATAATTTATTGTCTCTGAGTTTCTTTGTTAGCAAAACAGAGATGAGAACGGTAGCTACTAGCTACCAGATAATATACATGGAAGTGCTCTGTCATTTGGAAAGTTTCCCAGTGCAAGTGGGGGCAGTGGTTACAGATGACTGATAGAGCATTTTCATCTTAAAATCCTTTCAATATAGTGTATCACCTTTTTAAAAGTTTCATAACGTTTTTTGTTGTCATTGGACTCTAGAAGGGTTAAAAAGTCTTGTGTTGAGAGTTACATCTTTAAAAGAACACTTCCAGGTAAAAGAGGAGAGGGTTATTGCTTCTGCGTAGTGTGGTATTGATCTCTGAAAGCCATTAGGAATCGTTTCTGGCCCTCTTAGTTCAGCTTTACTTTGCTTACCCTGGGAAGTTCTGAGCACCTGATCAAGGGCCAAGAATTTCAAGTGTATTCTTGGCTTTGGCCCTAATCCTGAGTCGCCTTCAGGAAACTTACTGGTATTCTTTGGTTTTCTTATTGCTAGAGAAGTTGTGATCATGCGTTGTTATTTCATGTGGAAAATTCCACAGCTGCAGAATTTAAAAATAGTTTAATGCTTAAGCTCTAAGAGGATTTAATATGATTCTTAGATATGAAGTGTCAGATTTTGAAATAATGCTATAATGTTTTCTGATGTTTAAAAGGCACCTTTTCTTGTATTTGCATGGTAATAATAACTTTTCAGACTTTGTTGTGATCTTTTTGTAAAAAGATGGAGTCTGAGCAAGAGTGTTGCCATTCTCAACCGTTAGTGCTTCACCAAGTACTGAGGTACATGCTTGCTTTAGTTCCAGCTTCTCCATCTTATTGGTGCTTGGACTTTTAAAGGGAGTATTCTTTGAGTTTGTACATGCTACTTGAGAAGAGAACACTGCCTTCCAAGCAGTTGATGGACAAGTTCATTAATATTCTGCATATGAGGCACTTGTACTTCCCCTGTACGCTTTCTCTCTGGAACACTCTTAGAAAGGAACGATCAGACTAGTAATAAGTCAGCACATTGGTGATCACAGGGGTATGGACTCTCGGCCAGCCTGCCTTTTCTCCTCGGCTCTACTCATGACACTTAAACCCAACTCTGATGCCAAATAGAAGATGCATCATCAGCCTTTGGTCTCTGGGGGAAGCTGAGCTCACCTTATCCCTGAACCTTCTGTAGTTTGTGAAGTCATAGACTGAGTCAGGATTAACTTTAAACGTCACCGAGCAGCCCCCCTACCGCCCCTATCAAATCACCATACACACCTGACTTGTAAACTTTTCATCATGGGAGCCCATTACCTCACATGAAAAATAAACAGTTGTCAGAGTCGTGGACATCACATTAAAGACTTTGAATTTCATCTGCTCAGTAGAGAGAGCTAATGTGTGCAGGGGAATAATCTGAGCAGAGCTGTACTTTTAGGAATTTGGCAGTTGTACAGAAGACCAGATGTAGCTGATTGGATCAGGAGGCAGGGAAACCACATAAATGACTACTGCAGGAGACAATGGTGAGGGACTCTGAGGCCCTGAATATAGGATAAAGACGTCCACCAAACCTCTGGCTCTCAGTTCTGACAGTTCATCGTGGTCACCTGGGCAGCGTTTTCAAAATATGGATGCCTGAGACTCATGTGGACCTTAGGATTCTGATTCAATTGCATCAGGGTCTTTTTTGGCCACTTGACTTTTAAACACTCCAGAGGTGATTCTGCTATGCTCACAGAATTGAGACCAGCTGTCATGTAGTAGCAACACTTACTAAGCATTTAGGCTGTGCTGGGCTCTTTATATACAGCAATTCACTAAATCTTCTATGAGATATATGCTGTTTTATTTTATTGTATTGTATTTTTCAATTATAGTTTATATTCAATATTATTTTGTATTAGTGTCAGGTATACAGTGGCTAGACAATCATGTACTTTACAAAGTGTTCCCCCGATATTTCCACTACCTACCTGGCACCATACATAGTTATTACAATATTATTGACTATATTCCCTGTGCTGTACTTGCATCCTCATGACTATTTTGTAACTACCAAGCTGTACTTCTTAATCCCTTCACCTTTTTCACCCAGTCCCCCAAATCCCTTCCCCTCAATACATGCTGTTTTATGCTCGATTCACAAATGAGGAAACTAAGCAAAGAGACTAAATCAATGGCCCCAAGTCACATAATGAGTCAGTGGGAGAGCCAGGATCAAAACTGCAGAGCCTTGTTGAAATAGGATAAAAAAGCTTAGTGTTTTGTTTTATTATTTGCTTTCAAATAATGAGAAATAAAATTAACTAGCTTTTCTCTAAGGATATGATTTTTTTTTTTTAATTTGTAAAACTGGAAAGTCACACGCAGAGTTTTTAAAAAGGTGTGTGCTTAAAATGTTAAATTATAAGCAAAAGTTATTTATTTTAAAATTATTTTCTTTTGCTTCCTGAGCCAGCCCAGCATGCTTTTCCTGACTTGTTTTGTTTATACTGTTACCAACAGAAAGATGATATCATTTGACTTTCTTCCCCTGCTGAGTCAATGAAAGAATAAAATAAAATATAAAATAATAAAATAAAATAACATACTTCCAATTCAGGAATTCCTTTATTGACATTTTTTTAAAAAAACAACCTATTTTCAATCATGCATGTGATGTGTGTGTTAACAGAAACATTTAGAAAAAAATAAAAATCATTTGTACTGTCACCATCTAAAGGTGATAATGTTAATTAACATCCTTGCAGAAGTTCTTTGGTACTGATCTTAAGACCTTATTTCACTGGGGATAAAAACTAGACATATGAATATGGCTTATGATATTCATGTATTTAATAAGGTTTGGATTAGCCATTGATAGAAGAAATCCGTTGAAGTTTGATCAATTCTAATTCTATCCCTTGGTCCCCAGTTGTATGACAACTTGTATATACTGAGACTTCCTTGGTGAGGTTTAGACCTGAGACTAGGGGTCCTCGTGGCCTTTTTAATAGCACATGGTACACAGATGTCCCGGGAAACTTGTGAAGGGGAGGAAGGAAGCTAAGAGAAGCAACAGAAGACATCAGCAACAAACTCTTGGATAGCTGATTTCAAAGCTTTTTCTGATTTAAACTGTGACAATATTAATTTTAAAATATTCTTAATTTTGAGAACTTTGTGTTTGTATGAATGTCAGCAAACTTTTTTCTGTTTCTGTTTGAGTAGGAAGTCAGACTTAAAGGGTATTCAGAGTTTTTCGGTAATTGGCTACATCATAAGCTGTTTAAATGAGCAAGGGCTATATTTACCCCATCTCTCTTTAGCAACCTAAGGTTAGTCAATACTCAATTTTGAGTCAGATGCACTTGTCCATATATATATATATATAATGCTCTGGTTTCATGAGGCAATTTAGTAAAATTACCCCCAAACTACTTAATAGTATAGAATTAGTCACATTTCATCTTGAGTTGCATCTAACTCTCCTGGCCTAGAACTAGCAGTAATCAGGTGACTTTCTTTTTACACAGTTGTAAGGCTATTACATTTCTTTTGTTCAAAATATCAGGCTTGGATTGTTAAAACCCACATTTAGATACTTAGGAGATGCTAAGGTTGCTTTCAATTTTATGATTCTATGATACAATATATATGGAAATGTCCCAGTTCTCCAGGGGAAAGAAGAATGTTAAGAAACAGAAAACACAAACATTTTAGTGTATAAAAGAATGTCTGGATGGAGAAACTCTAAAATGTTACTAGTGGTTTGGGTGGATGGTAGGACCTTGGTAGGTATCTTCGGTCTTCCAGATCCACTCCACATGCTGCACTGGGCCCTGGAGAATGAACATTATGGGCTATCTCCATGGGCTTGCTCCCCTGTCCTCTGGTTTCTGGTTGGGTTCAGCCAATGGAGAACCCCAGGAAAGTGGAGAAAGGGAGGAGGGTGGTGTTGGAATATCAACTGAATGTCACAACTTCTCTCCAGAGGGCTTCTCCATATGACTCTCCTGGTTTGTGGTAACCACTACCTCCCTTTGCCCTTTGAAGCCTATGGGCCTAACAGCCTCACTGTTCCTAACCCCGTCACTATCCCTGGTGATTTCCCTTTGCCCTGAAGATGGTAGTGATCACTGCCCAAAGAGTCCACTGTCAACGTTAGGGTCTAGGTGCTCGCTTGAAGAAGTGCTGCTGTCAGTTGTCTCTTGGCTAAGTGTGTGTGCACTCATATCTTGTTTTTCTCTTAGATCCAAGGGTTGAAGACTGGTTCCTCATGTCCTCACCTCTGCCACAAACCATCATCTTGGGACTCTACGTCTATTTTGTCACTTCTCTGGGACCAAAGCTCATGGAAAATCGAAAGCCCTTTGAACTCAAGAAAGCGATGATAACGTACAATTTTTTCATAGTACTCCTTTCTGTGTATATGTGTTATGAGGCAAGTTCTTTAGTATTCCTAATGGGGGAATTTTGCCTGAGTCTTCCTGTTTATCTGTCATTATGTTTTTTGTTATGACTGTAAAACTCGAGATTAAAGAAATTTTAGAAACATAGCTCACTAGAGCAGGGATTTGCCCCAAAATTGTTATGTATAGACCAGATATTAAACTCTGAAGGATCTACATATAATTTACTCACAGGTAGTGAGAAAAGTTAACATTGAGTCCAGGGACTTGCATGTAGTTAGCTTTAATAAATGAGTGGATGAATCCATAAATATTAGTTTTAAGGAAACATACTTGGGGAAATTAAGTAACTTACTCAAAGTAGCATAGCTGGTAAGTGAAGGACTAATATTTGAATCAAGATCTGACATCAGAGCTCATTCTGACTCTAAGGAGTTGTCCTCAGGGCAGGAATCTTTAGTTTCTGCATGCTCTGATGAGCTATGAGGGTGAACTGTTTTGAGCTTTGGGGCAACAGAGAACTTAGGCTCACACAAAGCAGTAGATAAGGGAGCCTGTCCTGTAATTGTCAGTAAGAGAGATGCAGTTCTTTCAGGACCCAGAAGCAGACTCATGTGTTCACTTTCTGTCTCTCTGCTATTAACATGCCTCAGCCACCTCACTGCTCTTCTAGATTCCTTGCTTTTTCTCCCAATACTGGCTGGCTCCCTCTGAAGCATAGATGTGCTTCCTCATAAGAGTCCAGCAGGGCCCCCTGGCCTCTCTTCACACTGTGGTGTCTGTACATGAGTCCAGCAGGGCCCCCTGGCCTCTCTTCACACTGTGGTGTCTGTACATGAATCCTTCCAACATGATTCCCACCATGAATCCACCTGATCCGGTCGCCCTCAAACTGTTCTGGCTTCATTTCTCACAGGCCTCCCTCGAGTCTGGACTTACTCTGCTGTCTTCCATTTCTTCTACTTTATTTCCAAAATTAACTCATAGGCCACCGTACTGTCTTTTCTGGACCATGAAAGGGAAGATGTAATAGAAGAGGGAACAGAGAAAATACATGTTACCATAGATAGGATATAGCCTACTGTAGGTCAGTGTTAAGAACAGATCTGGGAGCCAGGAGACCAGGGGCTAGTTAGTCCCAATTATGCTACTAACTAGCTACCTGATTTTGAAGAAGTCACTTAACCTCTCTGGGCCTCAGGTATCCCATTTTATAGTCAGTATTGAACCAAATTGTCTCTCACGTTCCTTTATGCTGTGTCTGATTGTGTCATTGAATATGCTGTCCTCTAATATATTTCTCAGGAAGTAATTCAGTTACAATCCGTTAGTTCTGATTTCTATTATGGCAGTTACAACATTAAAAAAGGTTTGAAAATAACTGAATTTGAGAGTTTCTATGTCCCTTTAACCACTAATACTGAGTTACTTATATGTCCATTTTGGGGTTTATTAACTGCTAACTATAAATTATTACCTTTTCCTCTTTTTTAAAAAAAAAAATATCTTTATCGATTTCAGAGAGAGGAAAGGAGAGGGAGAGAGAGAGATAGAAACATCAGTGATGAGAGAGTCACTGATCGGCTGCCTCCTGCACACCCCTGACGGGGGATCGAGCCCACAACCCGGACATGTGCCCTGACCGGGAATCGAACCCTGATCACCTGGATCCTAGGTCGACGCTCAATCGCTGAGCCACGCCCGGCCAGGCTACCTTTTCTTCTTCATGGCCTGAAATATAGACACACATGTCAATAGACTTTTAGAATGTTCTTAAACTTAATATCAGGAAAGCATTAAGTTCCACTCTCTGTTTAAACAAAGACTTTTGGCAGCTGAGCAGCCTGTCATCTCCAGGACACATCGGAACATGTGGTTTATTGGTTCCACAGAGTAAACACCTCCACCAGGGATGTTAGGGCAAATATGCACAAGGTGAAAGGGACTTGGATCAGACTAAAGGAACCCATGTGCCTTATTTTTTAGACTCACATGCCTTTTTTTAGTGATGATTTGAATGTGGTAGTTACTTGGCATCAGTCAGACACAAATAAAGAGACACCAGTGAAGACCCCACAGAAGGCCACGTCACTCAGCTTCTCCTGTCCAGCGCAGTGCTTGTTTGGGGCACGGAAAAGTGGAGAATCCGTCACCCTGGTTTAAGTAAATGGGCTTAGAGTGTTCCTTTCATCAGTCAGAAGTTAAGTCTGAGCTCAGGGGAATGTGGAGGATGCTATATGACAGATTTCATAAAGGAGAATTGGTCATTTCTGTACCACATTCCCTTGTTCCTTAGAGAAAGTTTATTTACTTGTTTTTGTAAGATAGTTTTTGTCACCCATGAAACAGGTCTTATACTTTTCCAAATCTTAATTTTCAAGATTTCATAACTTACCAAGTTAACATTGTGATTAAGTGATCTCACAGCACAAGCTAGAAGCTAGTTTTAGAAAAAGATGGTGTGTTTTTATTTTTTTTTAATTTTTATTATTTTTAATCCTCACCTGAGGATATTTTTTCCATTGATTTTTTCAGAGAGTGGAAGGGGGAGAGAGAGAGAAACATCGATGTGAGAGAGACACATCGATTGGTTGACTCCTGTACGCACCCCAATTGGGGCAGAGCCTGCAACCAAGGTATGTGCTCTTGGCTGGAATCGAACCCGGGACCCTTCAGTCTGTGGGTTGATGCTTTAACCACTGAGCCAAACTGGCTAGGGCAAGATGGTGCGTTTTTAAAAACCGCAGTCTAAATAGTTGTTCTTTCTCTTTCATTTCTTATCTTTTCACCATTGAAATAGCATCCTGATGATGCCTTATAAACCTTTGTCTTTTAGAAGTTAATTTATGGTAAAGTCATTTTAGCTGTAATAGTAATTAAAAATAGAAATTTAAAATGTACTTCAGCCCAGCCGGGTGTGGCTCAGTGGTTGAGCATCGACCTAGGATCCAGGCGATCGGGGTTCGATTCCCGATCAGGGCACATGCCTGGGTTGCGGGCTCAGTCCCCAGTCGGGACCGTGCAGGAGGCAGCCCGTCAATGGCTCTCATCATTGATGTTTCTCTCTCTCTCTCTCCCCGTCTTCTTTCCTTTCTCTGATATCAATAAAGATATATTTAAAATAAATAAATAAAAAATAAATAAATAAATAAATAAATAAATAAATAAATAAATAAATAAATAAAAATGTACTTCAATTTCAGAAAATGATATCACCATTATACTGAGAAAGAAGACATTCTAGGGAAGATGTTAGCACTTGTGAGAACAGGGGAGCAAAGAAGAAAAGTGTTCGTGTTTTCAGAACTCTAAATTAAGCCAAACATTTAATATAGGTATTAATTTAAAATTACAATCCTCAGTTTTTCATTTTCAGATACTGTTTTAAAACAAGACCTTCCCACCATCAGACTGAAAGAATGTCAATATAATCTTTGAATTACGGTTCAGACTTATCAACAGTAGGCTTTTTCTTCTCACCACTAGCATAAGGTCACTTTGTGGGTGTGTTGGAATTATGGCTCGCTAGATTGCATTTTTAATGTTGAGATTTTCCTTTCTTACTTGTCATGTGAACCCAAAGCCAAACTCGTATCTGAGCCTTGTGTTTGGTCAACCTTAGTTTTAAGAGCCATGGTTTACCACTTCTCATCACACCCACTAGCTAAGGACAGGAAAAATGCAGTTGTTGCAGCCATTATGAGTACATTGAGGAATTTTGGTTTGCCCATTTATTTTTTGACTGATTGGGACAATTGGAAATCACCAGAAAAGACTGAATTTGGACCCAGGTATTCTGATTGGAATACACAAACATATGCCCAGTCCTGTATAGATATACCTAGCATATACCTCCCAGTGTTTGATCTTTAAGCAATACACTCCCAGTGTTTTGTTCTCCACTGCATTAGAATAATTATCCCAAGAGATGGACATTTTAGTCCAAACGCAGTTTACCTAAATAATATATGAGTTTATGCTTTTGACAATTCTTACTGCTCTGATGCCCAGCGCGGCCCTGGTTTGTAACTGTTCTCACCCTCCTTTCCCCCTGCGCGGCTGCTGACTCAGCTGAGCACATGATGAAGGGTCAGTGAAAACTGCCTCTGCGGTAGCTGTTGAGCAGAGGCCTCCTTCTTTAAAACGCATGTGGTCTCTTGCAGTTTGTGATGTCTGGCTGGGGCACAGGCTATTCATTTCGATGTGAAATAGTTGACTACTCACGGTCGCCTACAGCGTTGAGGGTAAGTTTCTTTTTGGAAAAACTTGTAACTCAGACTTAATGTTAAAACTTTTGGGGCTCTATTTGTAACACTTAATGTGAACTCAGAATGAGTAAATGACTCAATTATTAGAATATTAATAGTGAAAGAAAAAAGCTAAAATGTACCAACCAGAAAAAAATCAGTCAGGTATGTTGTTTTCTGTAACGTGACAATTGGTGCCCTTCTTTTTGAATTTCTTGGATTTAAAAATAAATTCATATCTGGTTACTCAAACAATTAAACACAGAATTACTATATGATCCAGCAAATCCTACTTCTGGGTATATACCTAAAAGAACTAAAGTCAGGTACTCAAAAAGATATTTGTACACCCATAGTCATAGCAGCATTATTTACAATAGCCAAAAAGTGAAGGAAACCCAAGTGTCCGTTGGTGAATGAACGGTTAAACAAATGTGATGTGTACATACAATGGAATAGCATTCAGCCTTAACAAGGAAAAAAGTTGTGACACGTGCTCCAACAGTCATGAACCATGAGAATATTATGCTAAGTGAAATAATCCAGGCACAAAAGGACAAATACCTTATGATTCTATTATGTGAGGTTCCTAGAGTCAAATTCAGAGACAGAAATTAAAATGGCCTTTGTCAGGAACCGGGGGGGAGGAGAGATGGGAAGTTGTTTAATGGGTACAGGGTTTCCATTTTGCAAGATTAAGAGTTCTGTGGATGTATTGTCGTGATGGTTGCACAGCAGTGTGAATATACTTAATGCCACTTAACTGTAGAGTAAAAATAGTAAAGATGGTAAATTATGTTATGTGTATTTTGCCAAAATTAAAAAAAAACACACCAATTTTTCCTCCATGTAAAAAAAATAAAATAAATTCATGTTTATGTGTGTTTCTGCAGATGGCACGCACCTGCTGGCTTTATTACTTCTCCAAATTTATAGAGCTATTAGACACTGTAAGTATGTAGTCACCTCATTCTGTAAATGTTTGATGATTCATTGAAAGCAATAAACTGCTAGAGTTCAGTTGTCTGATAACTTTGGTTATCTCTCCTCTTCAGGCAGACCTACCTTTTATTATCAGTAATATTAGAGAATAGATAAGAAAAGCTTAGTTTTTAGTCTCTTTCAAATTCCAAAAGGTTTTATGCATCTACCACCTGTTTAAGGTAAGCAGGTAACTGTCACATACACTACAAAACTGCATCTTTCTATAGATGGATGACAGTTGTTTGGGGAAGCAAGTTTAGAAAGCAAAGAGCAGAGAATGTTTTACCTTTGGTTCTTCTTACAAAAGCCCTGTGTCATCCGCACTCCTTTAAGAGGATAAATGCTTCAAAATTCATAAACTTATCCAATAATATTAAGTTACCCTGGCATATCAGTAACTTTGGTAATATCAAAACTACCTTCAGCTGCCCTGTGAGCCCTCTCTCTGCCTGGGGATAAACTGAATTTGAGCAACTGGACCCTGGGAGAAAAGTGCCAAAGAACAATGTAGAATATTCCAAGCCTAGAGTCCATAAGGAGAGGAGAAGGTCATGTGCCTTTGTGTCCAGAATAGGAAAGATGGACAATTATTGTATCTTTGTGGCATGTGGGTCTTGGTTATCTGGAACCAGTCCTGGGCCTCAGTGTGTTCTCTCTTCAGAGTATATACCACTACATTTCTTGTGGCAAATCTCAACATGCTTTACCTTTTCAGATGACTACGCATAATGTTAGAATTGCAAAGGACTTTAGTGAGCATAGAATCACTCCTGTGGTTCTTCAACTTTAGCAGGCATTAGAATCACCCCGAGGGCTTGTTAAAAACACAGATGCCCATATCCCAACCCCTGGAGTTTCTGATTCAGTAGGTCTTGAGTGGAGCTCAATAATTTGCATTTCTAGCAAGTTCTCAGGTGATATTATTACAGTTGGTCCAAGGTCCACACTTGCTGTAGTCCAGTGGTTCTCAACCCTCATGGTGCAGTCGACTTAATTGTATTAGAAAGCGAAAAGCCTGGGCCCCATCCCGAGATTTGGAGCTAGATGGTCTAGAGTAGAGAGCGGACGTGGCTATTTTAAAAAAGCTTCTTGGACATTGTAATATGCAGCCAGGGTTGAGAACTATTGATCTATTAAAGTCCAAAGCTCTGAAAATTCAATGAAGCCAAGAGGTTAAGTGACTTACCCAAAGGAATGCTGCTACTGTTGGGCTAGGATCTCAGATTGCTTTTTTATGGCTTTTCTGTTGCACGATGCCGCCTTCTCTCATGTGCACAAGCAAATGCGTTTTGGCTTCATTGTTTGTGCTTTGCATGTTCTCGGGTTTAGCTTCCATAAGGAAGTGGTTGCTGCCTCTGTGTCCTTCCTTAAACCACACTTCTGAAATACTCCAAGCACTTTTGTTTCTGCTACTCTGTTTAGTACCGTATTTCAAAGTCTGACTCATTGCTGCTCTCCTGAATTTTGAGTATCTTTTTGAAACTTTTAATTCTCCTCTTGAATATTTTTTGAAAAAAATTTCCCCCGAAATTGTTTCTATTCTGTCTTTGTTTGTAGAGTTTCTGCATACCACTGAGTACATTCATTCCTTCGTTGCCCTTCTTGTTTTTCCAAGGCAGCTTTGCTTTCTTTTCCATCCTATGTCCCCAGTTAACTCTTTAAGCTTTTCCCTCTTTATTTTTCTTTAATAATAACTTGCTAACTTTTGATTTGTTGCAAGTCTACTTTCAGTTTGCTTAATCCCTTACCTAAATTGGGAGGATGTGTTAGAGATCAATGCAGAATATTCCAAGCCTAAGAATTAAGATTTCCTGTCTTCCCATATACTTTAAAATTCACGTAGATTTTTTTTTTTTACCAATAACATTTCTTTTGATAATTTTTAGCCATAGTCTTCACTTGATATCTTTGATTTTCAAATCTGCATGCAATTTCTTTTTTCACCTTTTTATCGATTCTCCCATGACTAGGCATCATACTGAAGTTCCTTCATACTAATTAGCTTTTGAACTGCCCCTCGGAGAAACAGCTGCCTCTGTGAGCATTCTATAAGTCAGTCCTTTCAAGAAAATTATGATGTGAAATAGTTTTCACTTTGTCAATATTTTTATAACTCTAGATAAATTATTGCATGATTTTATATGAACTTGATTTTCTTTAAATTATTTCAGATCTTTTTTGTTCTGCGTAAGAAAAATAGCCAAGTGACTTTTCTGCATGTCTTCCATCATACCATCATGCCATGGACCTGGTGGTTTGGCGTCAAATTTGCTGCAGGTAGCCAAGGGAGAGTTGGGATCATTTATTATAAATAATAACATTTTTGTATGCTATAAACACAAAATCTATCCTTAAATGTGATTTAAGAGAAACTCAAAACATCAAAGAATCACTTCAATCAAACTTTTAACTTTCTTTATTGCTTGAATCCGAAATGCAGGACTCTTAGCCAGATCCTTCTCCGACTCTCCATTCTTTAGAAATGCATTGACTTTTGGGTACAGTCTTCTACATATATTCTTTCAATTGTTTTGTTTGGATTTTATGATTTTCCCATGGAGTTCTATTAAATTTCTTTAAATAAATAAATAATAGTAAATAAACAAATAAGTAAATGCAATGGTAAAAGCCTCGGGTTTATAGAAATATAGTTAGATATCTAATCCTTATATGTATTCAGAGAGTTAGAATGTGTATCTCAAGTTCCATGTCTTCTTTGCCTTTAATTTCTAATAACTGATATGTACGCTAAACCCTAACAGCTTTTTAAAGATGTGTCAAATTGCAGTTGTCCCAACTTCTTTAAGCATCCTACTATATTAAAGGATATTTTGATACTGTTTTTTAGGTCAAGAATACTTAAATCAAAATACTTTTAAATCAAAAGTTTAGAAGACAGACTCTTGTTTGGTTTGGATTTTATGCTTCTGAACATCTAGAATTGGAAAAAACAGGAGGTTAAATAATGTGACCTTATCATTAAGTTTTGAATAAGTGATATTCCCAATGACATATTCTTATCTTATTAGCAAAAGTTGGTTGGGGCATTTATTTATGCTAGTTTCTTATATTTACGAAATCTTTAAGTAGGCCTGCAGCCCATATTAGACTGTGTTTTAACATTTCTGTGAATGGCTCACCTCTATTAGGCATTCTGACTCTGCAACACTAAAAAATAAAGAGGAACCACAATTGAGGAACTTTTGTTTGAGCTTTAGACTTCTAGGCATGGGGGGGAAATCTGCATGTCTCATGTCTCAGAGCATGAGAAGACATGGATAAGCCAGTGGCACAAAAGAGGTGCCAGATCCTAGAGGAGCCAGGAGGGCGGTCGGTCCCTGCCATGTCCATGGGCATTGGGTTTTTCAATATGTAAAGTATCTCCTTGCCCCAAATTTGCAGTTATCTGTTGAGCATTTTTTAAAAGTAAATGTAGCTTTTTTTTCTTATAATGTATGTTAATGTGAAAATTTAACTCATGTTACAGGGGAATCTCATCTGTGTCCATTTCACAAATCAAGTATAGCTATATTATTTAATCTCCATTATTTTACTTATCTTTACTTTCTTTTTTTTTCCTCTCACATGTATATTGTGCCTCTCAGTTCTTTCTACAGTGATATCATTGACATCTTTAATCTTGGTGAAATATTGAAAAATACCTAAACATCCACTAATTGAATGGCTATTTCTTGTGTGTATATAATTGTGAAATGCTAATGATATTGAGAGGCATTTAGCTCATCTTTTAAGCAGCTTGACTCCTAACTTATCAGAAATAGGTGACTCTTCTATTTTTAAAGTGTGCTAGAAAAGGTTCTTTTACACCCTTATAATTTATTTACTCAGATTTCTTTCATGAGACCAGAATATTATCACAACACTGGAAAGTATATAAAAACAGAAAAAAGATCGGAAAGCAATACCTCAGAATACAATGATTTAGAGAGATTGACACACAAAGTGGTTTCTGTCTCCTTCTTTATCCTGCTCTGTATTTTGTAATTTTCCTATATTGAATATCTGTGCCTTCTGTAGTGGGAAAAACAAATTTTATATGAAGACTGGAGTTAAGTACTTTTCTAATTTCTATCTTTGAATCCATTTCAAAACAAACAATGCTTTCAGTAATGCAAATGTAAGCCTATGGTACTCCTCAAGTGTTCAGTGTTACCATGTTTGTGGACATCAGGCACTTTGCTGTGGGTTCATTGGCCATACCTTAGGCCCCCTTCTGTTTTCCGAGACGTCAGGAGTAGAATATAACAGTTTGTTTCCTCTCCTGTTCCATGAGTTGGATTTCTTTCAGCCTTCACGTAGGCTCTGGTAAATACGTGTACACCTGATGTCTACTCAGTGACAAGCACAACACCGAGAGCTGGGGTATTTCCAGAGATGTGGTTTGGCATAGGCTTCCATTCCTAGAATGAAACCGCCCCTTTTAAACTGTTCTTTCAAAACCTTGAGCATAACTGATCTCTGTCTAGTGTTTAATGTCCTGTTTGCCTGTTGTTCAACTCTCTGGGATAATAGCCGTCCAGCTTTTCTTTTGAGTATGATGAAAATATTTCTGTGACAGTTTTTATATTAATTATGCACAATCCCCCTTGTAGAGATATGGAGAATTATAATAATTTATCAGGTGATTCCTTTATTTTTCCCCAACCAAAGGAGTAAAAGGTGATGGCACTAACTGTAATTCATTCTGAGATGTTTCTTTTCAGAACTGTTACCACAAAGAGAGAGCAAGCTTAGGAAATACTTTTTGGAGAAGCCTTCCAATAAGATATGAAAATCATTACTAAGTAAAATGTGATTGTTCTGTAAACAAACTCATTGAAATAACATCAGAAAATAATCATAAATTAGAGAAAATAAGCAAGTTTATTTTGATAGCTTATTTTGATCAGTAATCCTTACTAAACACTCATAGCTACACTAGTGCTTTGTTAAATTCCTGTCCATAGGATCCTTGTTTTAGGACATTTAAATGATAAAAGCTGCTGACTGGCAACATGGACACTCATACCAAACAGTCGGAGCGGTGTCTTAGAGAAACAGGTTCTGATGTAGTTGGTTAGCAAGGGTACAGTAGATTTCCTGTGTGTTTGTAATCGCGAGACATAAATAGAATTGAGAGGTATTTGGCTTATCCCTGCTAAGCAGCTTGATTCCTAAACTATCAGAAATAGACAACCATTCTATTTTTAAATTACACCTAGAAAAGGTGTTTCCACACCACTATATTTATTTAGGTTTCTTTTGGGAAAGAAGACTAATTCAAATGTAAATAATAAAAGCTGGGAGGTTGTTAAAAATCTTCATTAATTCAGTTTCTTCTGATTTAAAATGTGTAATAATTAAAGGGTTAGCTAAAATTTTATTTATTCAGGAAGGGAAAGTTTATGAGGTGACAATACATCGTAAACGAGACATTGGAGGAATATTTAAGCTACTTAAAAAGAATTACTTAAGACAGGTTATTTTAAGGGAGTACTTTAGCAGTGGTAATATCTAGAATTGCTGCAATTATAAATGATTATTAAAAAGTAATTCATTTCTGCTCTGCAGTAATTTTTATTTTGCTTTAAACTTTCTGAAATTCATAATGTTTATGAATTTGGTCCTTCTAACACAGTCGGTCCAAATTTGTGAGGTTTCGCTTTATTTCTGGAATTAAAGAATACTGGAATAAACAGGATAGAATATTTTAGAGAAAATTTTAAATTTCAGGCCAACATTACTAAGCTGAATCAGGCTCTACATAAAGAATGCATATTCTTCTCGATTGTGCCACTTTGGGAAGAGATGCTAGGAAAGAGTTCTGTCCCCCACTCCCCCCGACCCCTACCAACTGAGCACCCTGTCACCCGTCCCACTGTACTACTGGGCCAGCTAAAGATCTTTGCTTACATCCCCCCAGCGTTCTTCGCTTCTATTCTAAATTAAACGTGGTGAGTAGGAGCTGTGGGGAAAGTAGAAGATGAAAACCAAGATAGGACGGCACAATTCAGAAAAATCAAATGGAAGCAGGAAACAAAGGTGGTTTAACAATAAATGTTTATTTATTTTTATTTTGGAAAAACAATAACTGATTAAAGCAAACTTAGCAGAGCTTACTAATGAATGTCAGTGGTTTGACCGCCACAGTTTTGTGGCACTAAAAATATTTATTGAAAATTGAGAGTGGAAAAAATGAGTTTGATTTCACACAGTGACATGTGCAGAAATATTCCTAGTGGTTTTGTGCATAACAACCCAAAATGGAAACAATCCAATTATCTTTCAATAGGAGTATAAATAAATACTGATGTATTTATATAGTGTACTACTGCGTAGCAATAAAAAAGCAAACTACTAATATGCACACCAACATGGGTGAATATTAAAAACATGTTGATTGAAAGAAAGGCACAAAAGAATATATCCAATATAATTCTAGTTATATGAAGTTTAAAAGCAAGTAAAACTAATGGTTCATTATAGAAATCAGAATAATGGTTCCATCATGAGAGATGCATTCTTTGAAAGGGGGTATGGGAACCTTACCTGGTGTCATAAATATTTTATATTTTGAATTTGGTGATGGCTGCGTGGGTCTCATTCTAGGAAGATGCTGCTGTTTTATAGTAATTATCTTTTGCAGGTGGCTTGGGGACATTCCATGCCTTTCTAAATACAGCCGTGCATGTCGTCATGTATTCCTACTATGGACTGTGTGCGTTGGGACCAGCCTACCAGAAATACCTGTGGTGGAAAAAATATTTGACGTCGTTACAGCTTGTGAGTAATTAGTTTTCTTTAAAACAATATATGAAACTAAACTAGGGTCATATGTCTTCTCTGTGGATAAGGATATTAATTGAATAAATTAGGATATTAATTGAATAAAGAATGAAGTTTACAAAACAATAGGGATATGAAGTGTCTGGCCTCTGTATGGCACCACATCTTATTTCTATCTTATTTAAACTGTTGTCAGGACCTTTATTGAAAACAAAGCACATTTGGTAGCCAAGAGGCCCAGACATTAAATCAAAATCTGTATCTTTATACCGTCTTTATACTATTTTATGCATTTATATAAAATACAAATTTATCATTAAAATAATCTCAAAGTTATGTGAACCTCAGTAGGCATAATATTAAATTAGAAGTTAGAAATTTCATATTCTAGATCTAAATGACCTTGAGGGAATGTAACTTTGAGGGAATTATGAGCCTTCCTATGTGTTTGCCTGAATAGTCCTCACATTTCTAAGTTTCTTTTCCTCCAACTAGTAAAAGTACTGTGAGGGTTAAAGTGTACATTGGTGGCATAATACATATAATGACAAAAGTCACAGCACCCTAAATAACCAAACATAAGGAAGTGGTGAAATAACTTATTTTAATTTCTACTTTGGAATATTAAAAAGTCATGAAAATTATTCACAATCGCTTTCTTTTTAAGTGGATTTTTTTTTTTTTTCTGAGAACGTAAGTTAGAGCACTGTCCTCAAGCAAACAATGCTCCGAAGGGCGGAAGTACTCAATTTAGACCTAATAATACTCTCCAAGCATTAATCCCAAAAATATATGGCATATAACTTTTTTGAAGAGTAACTATGTGTTGAGATGATGATTTGCTTTAAATTTTGTCTTCTATTAAAAAAAAAATTGTATGATCCTCACTTTTTCAGATTTATAGTCTATAGTAACTTAGTGTTATATTCTGCCAATAACACTAAAGAGAAAGTGGAATTTAGGCGTAGCTAGCGTGTTGAAGCTTAATTTCTATTAAAATCCTACAACTTGTTAAATGAAAATTGGCGTATTTATATAATGTATTCTCCCAGGTGAGAGACTGATATTTTAGTCTGTAAGGGTGTTAAGTCAATATCAGGGTATATCATTGAAGAGTTGTTTATTGTATTTAAAATTGACAATATCCTAAATAACCAACCCTAAGGAAATGGTGTAATACATTATTTTAATTCTTATTTTGGAATATTATGAAGTCATGAAAATTATTCTCAACTACTTTCTTTTTAAGTATACTTTCTGATTTTAAAATAATATATGCTCACTGCAGAGAAATAAGAACATCAAGTTAAGCAAAGAGAAAGAAAACTAAATATAATTTCACCACTCAAAGATATCAGAGCTGATACTTTATTTTATTCTCATCTAGCTTTTATCTAGCTTTTCTCCTCTATGCATACATGTGTATAGTTTTTGCATGATTTGTATTATACTGCATATAAAATTTTGTATTAGTCTTTTTTCACTTAACATACTCTTAAACGTTGTAAAGACTTTTTAATAATGTGGGGAAATACTTACATAGAAGAATAGGCGTTTATTCATTATTATTTCACATATATCAGTTATACACAATCACACCTGCATAGAATGTTGAGGATGTTGCTTAGGACTCCTAAGGTTTCATTTCTTCATCTGAATACTGAGAAGAATTGTCGCTACTGCACAGAAATGTCATAGAAGTTCCTTAATATAATGAAAGGAAAGTTGATGATGATGATAAAAGAAACTGTGAAAATCTTAACTGTGGTGATAAGGGATGGATTGTGGGTAGTTGTTATTTATTTTAATGTATACTTTTTTTATTTAATGTTTAATTTTTACTTTTCTAAAATTTCCACAGAATGCATATTGCCTTTTAATAAGGAGAAAAAATATATCCAAAAAATCTGTTGTCTGTTGTATTATAATGTATTACGGTGTTCCTCTTAAGACTGTGTAGAATGTTCTGGAACACAGAGTCCTTGGGCATCACAAGGAGGGTCCCTAAATCTGTCTTACTCCTTGCAGCCTCTGCTGCTGTTGGCAAATAGGATATATTTTTATCTATGACAGTGGAAGGCAAATGGCAGATATGAGGACTCAGAGATGCTTAGGCTCCTACAAAATTGGCAAAGCTCTAATTAGAAAGTATTTATTTCCCCAGAATTGAAATACCTGGTCTAACAACAAACTATTTGAAATTGAAACTGTCCTAAATATTAGGCCATAAGGTAGTGGTCCATGTGCATTTTGTCAATCAAAGACTAACATCAAAGATTTGCAGAACACCTGCCCTGTTGGTTCTCTGAGTGTGAAAGGGCTGCTACGTTGCACAGCAACAGGGACATTTGCACAGGTCCTCTGGAGTTGTGCCATTTGGTGGGACTGGATAGTGGTTCCAAATTCCCATCTGGATTTTGACATTTTTCCACCCACTATCACTCCTATGGAGGCTAGATTGAAAGATAAAATTCCCTACCCAGCTGTAGCCTGGAGGTGGTTGGAGAGTGTTTAAACCTAAGCAGGCAAAGAATGCATTAAATAATTGCTCCATTGTGACTCTTCATTTCTGAACAATATTTTCCATTCTTTCATCTGTTAGGTCCAGTTCATTATTGTCACCATCCACATAGGCCAGTTCTTTTTCATGGAGGATTGCAAGTACCAGTTTCCAGTCTTTCTGTACATCATTATGAGTTATGGGTGCATCTTTCTGCTGCTCTTTCTCCACTTTTGGTACCGTGCTTACACCAAAGGTCAGAGGCTGCCCAAAACTGTGAGAAATGGAATCTGCAAAAACAAAGACCACTGAAACCCAAGTACAACATGGATCCATGAATGAGACTGATATCTTGTCTTCCTTGACAATCAAGAGATGTTTCCATGTGCAGTGCATTTTGTATATTTTTCAAAAGCAAGAGCTTGTATTTTTATGATAAGTTATTGGGGTTTCTGATATTTGAGAGCCCAAACTCCCAGATAACAGTCCCCTGATAATTAGAGCCTGAAGCAGCCAGTTTTTCAGCTGCTTTTAAACCTCATCTAAAGGTTCTGTTTAATACATTTTATTACAATAAAAGGATCATGTGAAACAGTACAGTACTTTTCAAAGAAGTTCGGTATAAATGAAAAATATCATTAGATATTTTGAGTGCGGACAGAGATCCATGCTGTACAGTGGATTCCTTCTGTCAGATCTGCAAACCTCTAACTGTGGGCTCTGGCATTGTAGCTTGTTGACTGTAGTCAGAAGACACTGTGTTTATTCTAGAGTTAAATTCCCATTCTAAAGAACTAATGAAGTGAACACTAAGTGGATGTTGGATAAGTTGTTATTTAAAATCACTATCAATAATTGTTAATGAATCTCTTGAGTAGCGACCGCCAGTTTTGCTGATGAGACTGTGTCACCACCTTTTGTTGTATGAAGTGTTTAGAAGTAACTATCCTTTCCATGAACACATTGATGCACTTAACACTACGGTTAAGTGAATATGCTGAAAACAGGTGATTTATGCTGATGGCTTAATGAACCCTTTGCTATTACTGTTTTTCAATTATCTCTGTATATTTCTGGGAAGAAGTGAATTTGTCAATGGAAAAAGTGCTTTTTACTGGGAAAAGTCTGTTGTCTGTTGTATTATAATGTCACTTCCTTATATAGTCACGGTTTAAAAGATTATCTTGGTTAAATATGTATTGGTTAGATGTGCAAATGTTGATGTCGTTAACATATTGCAGGTACCCTTACATCATAAATGATTTTAGACCACCCATCAGTTTCCAGAGATGTGTTAGAGTGGCTTGTGGGCAGTTGGAGGTAAAGGGTGATACAGAGATTATCCATGGAAGATTTACTTCTGTAAGGGTCTCTCTCAATAGAGAGAGTGAGACTACATAATAGTTACTGTTATAGATATATGCATGAAAAAATATTTTCCAGAATTATTAATTAACAGCCTGGATTTCTTTTTTCAGACTTATAAATTACATAATTAAGGACTAAAATTGATTTTGCATAGGTTTCATTTCTTTAAAATTGCTACTTTCTAAAATTCTCTTGTTCTTGAACAGTGAATTTTTGTCCAAGAGACACAAATATTTGGACATTTAAAATGATTCCTTATAGCTTGTTTTTTTCCTGTTATATTTATACTCAATTTTTGAAGGACTGCTTATGCTTGTATTACTTCATACAATGAGTACTTATGGGCCTCAGTTCTCGTGTAACACACAGTGATACGTACTATACAGAGTCTGAGTGTTTACTCACTGTAAACTCCTAGAGTTCCGTGTCTTCCCCCAATCTCTTGATCTATACCATGGCCTTTCACACTTACCAGACTCATAAGGTTATGTGCCTTTAAGTGACCTTTAGTGACTTCACTTGCTTACAGCATGGGAAGATGAGGGTTGGAAAATGGGGGGAAATTCATATTTTTAAAAATAAAGAATAAAGAACAGGAGAGCAGAGCTAAAAGAAACAACAGATCTAATTTACTTCTCTGATAGTCTCTGGATTCCTTAAGTGTTTTCTTGTTTTGGCTCTTCAAATCCAACTTGTGCTAAATGAGAAGGTATGGTAGGTGCTGTTATATATACTCACAATTGCCAAAGACCACAGTAGGGTAAAGACCAAAAGCAAGCAAAAGTAGGAAGATAAAACAGGAGAGTTTGATTTCTTTCCCTGCACTCTTTCTGACCTGCACTGTACAACCTCTCCTAACCGCCCTGTAGTCTTTGAAATGTTTGGCGTGCCTGTCAGCTAACAGCAACATGTGATGGAAACACATTCTAAATTATACAAATAGAAGTGGAGAGCTAGAATGTTACATGAAAAGAAATCACAGCTGGCAGAAACATCCTTCATATAAACATTAGCAGATCAAAATGCATCCAAGGAGTGTAGAGTGCACAGGCAATGCTTTACTAAAGGGCTTTGTGGGTCACAGAGAGTTTCTTTTGGGGTTTCATCCACTTTTCAGGACTTGATTGCCTTTGGATTTGCTTACGTAACAAATAAAGAGCCCAGTTACAAAATCTGATTTATGAATAAGGCCCTATGAATCCTCAAAAACTTATATATTGTAAATAAATAGAAATACAAAATTTTAAATACATAAGGGACATTGCCATTTACAGTCTTAATTTAGTAGAATTCTTAATTGAGTAGACTACGTTATTACCTAAATTATAAAATTATGAGGTTACATTTCCTCATATTATCCCTTACTTCTGTCTTGTTTTTAAAGAATGTGAAAAACTCTGGATATTTTCCAAGTTTTGTGTGTGTGTGTGTGTGTGTGTGTGTGTGTATTATAATAAATTTATGGTATTATGTGTGTGTATGTGTATTATAATAAAGTGTGTGTGTGTCTGTGTATTTTTCATTTGGACTCTAACTGCATACGTTTGCGTGGGTAGGTGCTTTTCAACCTGAATACTCACTAAGCCACAGCATTTTACACATTCGTTGTATACTTGCGGTGTTCAGAGCCATGCTAGGCGTTGGAGTGACACAGACGCCTGCGTGTCGTTGGGACCCCTGGGAGCCTGCAGGCAGGGGAGGAAATGATGTCACAGGGCGCATATGATCGTTGCCATGAGTGAAAACCCTGTCGCTTGCAAGCAGGGAAGCTCCACGAAGGAACTGGAATTTGAGTTCTGTGTTTAAGATGTACGGAATTTCTAGATGGGCAGTGGGTGAATGGGCAAGGTGTGCCAAGCAAACGGAAATAGCAAAGCAAGGGCCAGGGGAAGGAAGGTATTAGGAAAGTTGAGGGAATAGCCAATGGGCCAAATCAGAGTTTGGCTTCCTGTGGGCGCCACAGAGAACGAGACCAGGAAGGGAGGCGACCTGGGGACTCGCTGCTGCAGCTCTGGGCCACCTCGCCTTTGGCTTGTGAGAGGGAAGGTGTGGCTGAAACGCCTCCTTAAGAAGGGTCCTGTGGTGGGAGGGGCCGGGCGGGGCCTGGGACACTAAAGGCAGAGGTGGGTAAGCTGAGTAAGGGTGGTGAAGAGGGCCACCTCGTGTGATGGGAATGAAGGGACCCATGCGTGAGAGCTTCCGAGGCCTGGGATCTGGAGACTGACCCGCCAGGGACGGAGTGTGTGGAAGGATCTCTGGGAGCGGTGGGTGGTGTGGACATTTGGCTGGATCCGAAGCTGTGAGGCATGGATGTTAGATGCCAGGTAACCTTGGGCAGGCCAGTTAATCTCTCTCAGCTTTTGTTTCTTCCTCTGTAAAATGAGAGTATTAATACAAGTTCTTTTTGCCGGACTGTTGTATGGCTTAAAAGAGATAATATATGTAAAAGCCCTTTGTAGTAATTGGTGAAAATATGAAATAAGATATGACAAAGAATACAGACTCGGCAGAGTTGAGTGGGGAGGAAATAAAAATGAGTCCCTAGCTTAAGACAGGTCAAACAGTGTGGTTCTCTCCACTCGAGGTAGAATACGGTATGTGTTGATTGAGGATGGGGTGGGATTGATGTTTCCAGCAGAAGCAACCGCAGTGGAACAGGCTCACAGCATGTCCTGTGATACCAGGCTACCCAGAGAAAGGACCAGAGGGCTCTACTTTTATGTAGCTATCTGGGTATGGTCATGGCTTTTATTGACAGCTGGTATCAGGTCAGGCTGTACATGTACACATAGCCCCCAAATTCCTGCAAACTACAACACTATTAACATCCGAAAGACCCTTCATGTCTACATTCAAACTGCAGCATTATGAAAATATTGCTGTACCTTGTATATATTCTAGGGCCCAGAGTATTCAGTTAATTTAGGGGACAGTCTTGTTGCTAACGGGAAAAAGCTTGCTACAAGATAGTATTGGCCTAAAGTTCCCAGGCTACACAAAGGGGCATTCTGTGCCTAGTACTTACAACTTCAATAGGAATGATGTAAGCATCTGACTAGCTGGATGCGAAAGCTATGAGCTCACAGCCGCTATCTTCTACCTTAAAGCTACACGAATCCTTGCGTGTGTGTCTTCTGCCTGCCTTGTGTTATCTTACCCATGAATCTGTTCTATCCTTTTTATTCTTGTGCCAAACATCCTACTTCAGACCCAGATAGTTTTGCCTAGATTATAGAATTGTCCTTGGTCTTATTACATTTTCCCCTAATATAAAAACCTTTTATCCATCTGGGCTGCTCTCATGGAGGGAAGCTGGGTGCAGCGGTTGAGAACACAGACTCTGGAACCAGTCTGCTGGTCAAATCCCGGCTCAGTCACTTACTAGTTGTGTGACAACCTCTCTGTGTCTTAGTATCCTCACTGAAAATGGGAACAATGGGACCACTCCCCTCATCACAGGGTAGTGTGGGGATTAGATGAGTTAATAGAGGAAAATTTTTAGAGCAGTGCCTTCTTTCTAGTTGTTCAAGCCAAAACCCTCAGAGTCATCCTCAACTCTTCTCTCTTTCTCTAATTCAACATCCAAAGCTTCACCTTAAAGTATAACCAGAATCTGACCACTTCTGGTCCCTCCTTAAGTCATGCCTCAATTTCTGGAATAACTTCCCATCTGACTCACTGACGCTCTCACCTCCTTACAACACATAGTCTCCATCACACACAACATAAATTAAATCATGTCACTCTTACTCAGAACCCTCCAGTGGCATCTGATTTCACCCAGAGAAAGAGCCAGAATTTTTACAATGGTCTACAAGGCCCTCCATGATCTGTCTCTCACCTGTTCTGATCTCCTACAACTCCCCCTTTGGCGCCCACTGCCCAGTCACACTGGCCTCCTTGTGTCCACTGGACCATGCTAAGCACATTCTTATCTTAGGACCCTTGGTTTAGCTTTTGCCTCTGCCTCAGGGACTCTTTCCCAGTAACTGCTTGGCTACACCCCTCCCTTCCTTCAGTCTAGCCTCAGGTGTCAGTGAGGCCCTGTTTACTATTACAACCTGCACCTTGCTCTCTTTCTTCCTTACAGCACTTATTACCTTGTAACATGCCAAACAGTTGACTTAGTTGTTCTTTATATTGTTTATTGTCTGTCTCCCTTGTTAGAAAGGAGGGTGCCCTTGTCCTCAAGGGTAGACATTGTGGGTTGTGCTCACTGCCAGTGCGTAGAACAATGGCTGGCATATTACAGGAGTGGACTGTCTCAACTGGAATCTGTCAGGTGCTTTTCTCATGATTAGATTAGTTTTTAGAAGGAATACAATAGAGGTAAAGTATTCTCATCAAGGGTGTCATATCAAGGGTACATTCTATCAATGCGACCTTTCACTGTTGATATTGACCTTGGTCACCTGGTTGAGATAATGTTACTCTTTTTTCCCTCTTTTATACTTTATTCTTTGGAAAGGAGTTACTATATAGACACACTTAAGGATACCCCCCTTGAGGGCAAAGTATCTGCATGAATTATTTAGAATTCTGCATAGGTAAGTTGCCTATTCCATTATTTAATCATATATGTTTATATTAGTATGGACTCATGAGTATCTATTTTATACTTCGGGTTATAATCCAGTACAACCTTTCTTATTTCATTGCTCACATTCTTCCTTCTTTGGCCATTGGGAGGTCTTCCAGGTGGCTCCTGTGTCACTTTGACATCCCCACTTCCTTACTTTCTGGCACTACAAGATATTCCAGGCCCATTCTGCGTATTTCCTGCCCTATTCCTAGAATCAGTCAGTTCTCCAAGGGGCCCTGGTTCCTTTGGTTGGAGAATGGTATTAGAAACCAAGAGCTGGCACTAGGTGTGCTCATTTCTACTGGAGTATGATTGCTTCTGGGCCCTCTCAGCTGACAGTGCAGGGAAGATGCCTGTATACTAACCAGAGTATATACACATATCTATAAATATTTCTATATGTAACTTTGTATCTATATTAAGATAAATGAGTTCATATTGATATCTCCAAGTGTATCCATTACCACACGGATTATTCTAGCCTTTGCCTCTTGTCTATAATGCCAATATTGAAAAACCTGGCTCCCAACATCTGCCGTCTATGTACTTAATAGTTCAAGCCTAGTATGCATGTTTAGTGGCTTGGGAATTGTGAACCCACACTCCACTTTGTCAACTAGAGTTCCTTTTGTCTTTCCTATACAGACTTCTCTTATTTCCAGAATTACTTCGGTTAGTGCCTTTCTCCCTCATCCTCTTCAGTGAGGTGGTTTCATATATATTTGTTATACAGTTAGAGTCTTTGTCACATTCTACATTTCACCCTGGGACCCTGTCACCTTCTAAATGATTGAAATTGTTTTGCATCCTTCAAGGTTGACTCTTTGCGCTGAAAAGCTCAAGTTTTGACAAATGTATGGTGTCATATATCCACCGTTACAGTATCACATGGAACAGTTTCAATGCCCTAAAAACCCTTCATTCTTCACTGGCGCAGCCCTTCCCTGCCCTGAACTCCTGGCATGCACTGTTCTGTCTGCCGTCTCTGCAGGTTTGCCTTTCCCAGCATGTCATATAAATGAAATCACATAGTACGTAGCCTTTTCTAGATTAGATATAGTTTCACTTGTAAATATGTATTTAAGATTCCCTCATGTCTTTGAATACCTTGATAGCTTATTTCTTTTTACTGCTCAGTAATATTTTGTTTTTCTTTATCCATTTGCCTATTGAAGGCCATCTTGGTTGCTTCCAGTTTGGGGGCGATGATGGAGAAAGCTGCTGTGAACGTGCACGTGCTGGGTTTTGTGGGGATACAGGTTTTCAAGCCAGGTGGGTAAATACACGGGAGCACAATTGCCACATTGTATCATAAGACGTGTTTAACTTCACAAGAAAAATGCCTAAATGTCTTCCAAAGTGGCTTGTCCCATTTTGCGTTCCCACCAGCAATGACTCCAGTTGCTCCACATTCTCACCACGATTTGATGTTTTTAGTTTTTTTGGATTTTAGACATTCTACGAGGTGTCTAATATTATATCATTATTGTTTTAGTTTGCATTTTCCTCGTGACAAGTGATTTTTAAAAAAATTTATCTTTATTGTTGAAAATATTACAGATGTCCCCTTTTTCCCCCATTAACCCCTTCCACCCCCCTCACTCCCTGCCCCGGGCCTTCCCCACACTATTGTCTGTGTCCTTGGGTTGTGCATATATGCATGTAAATTCTTTGGATAATCTCTCCCCACCCCCCACCCCCACCTTCCCTCTGAGAT